AAAGTAGTATCCATCAATCTTTTGACTCTCCATTTATTTTCCATCCATAAATGAATTCTCATTTTATATCCATTTTACTATCCAGGAATGTGTTTATTCATCCATTCATCAGTCCATGAAAAGATAAAAAAAAACATTTCCTTGTCAGCATATTTATTTACATTCATTTTTCTAACTATGGCATAAACTATAACTCTGATAAATGCTACTTAGAATATGTATTGAACATGGATTTAGATTTTTAAACATTTTCCAGCCTTATTTAGTGCAAAATTAGGTGAAGTGGACAATATGCAAGAAGGCTTATTTATATATATCTAATTGGGAAATTTTACATTAGATAATTTGTTTTAAATTATACAATTAGCCTTCAGTGGAATTTAAGATGGTTTGTTAAATGATAAAATTATAAATATTAGACTATTAAAAGTACCAGATGTTCATGTAATAATTTAGGTCTAGATTTTAATGAAACAGGTTCTAACTACTAACCCACAGCCTCACAAGGTCAGAGGTCAGCTGCATTTCATGAATTTGATGAGAAAATGTATATTTCAGATATTCATCAATCCATCCTCTCATCCAACCATTTCTCCCATCCATCCATTATTCTGTCCATCCATACATCCTCCCATCCATCCTTCAATCCATGATTTGATCCACTCATCCATTCTTCCATCCATTCATCCTCCCATCAATCCACCGTTTATTCCATCCATTCTTCCATTCATCCTTCCATCTACTCATTCTTCTACAATGTTTCCATCTATACATTCTTTCATTCACCCATCCTCTCATCATTTCATCCATCTATCCGTTCTTCCATCCATCCATTCTTCTGTCCATCCATACATCCTCCCAACCATCCTTCAATCCATCCTTTGATCCATCCATCCTTCCATTCTGCCATCCATCTATTCTTCCACCCATTCATCCTCCCATCCATCGTTTAATCCATCCATTCTTCCATTCATCCTTCCATCTACTCATTCTTCTACAATGTTTCCATCTATACATTCTTTCATCCTCCCATCCATCCATCCTTTCACCCATCCATCCAATCTGTTTTTCTCTGTCTCATTCTCTGATAAATCTCCAAACTGACATAGAAACCAGACAGTGTCAGCTCAAAGTTTCCTCGCCATGCAGTCTGACTACTAAGATTCTTGCTTTTTTGTCTTGCAGAATTGGTTCAGCCACCCTGTTGAGAAATCCCTCCTGGTTGTTTTCATTCAACGTGTTGCTATTCAGATCTCTCTGCTGTAGATGAAGGCTAGATTGAAGATAGGGCTGTCACTTTATTTGGGTAGAGAAGCTGCTTGTGCTGCAGTGAATTGAACAAAAAGGTGTGACCTATGTCTGCAAAATAGAAAACATCAAGAAGACAATGGTTTTAAAGGAGCTGAAACAATTTGATCCTGACCCATTTCAACAGTTTGAGGAAGAAAATACAGCAGCTTATTGTCACATTTAACAAACCTGAATAAATCAAAGTAATGCCACTCCCCCCCCCTCATCTCCTTTATGCCACACATATATATTGCCCCTAAATCAAGTCCTTTCCTCTCAGAGTATTGATATTTGCTGAGGTGGGAACAGCGGTGTCTGTGAGTGCAGGTCTTTATTGCAGATCTCCAGAAATACAGCACCCTCAGTGTTCCACTGATTATTTGGTTCACTCCTCATAGACTCTACTAATCATTCATCGTAAATGAGAAGCCTGATCTATTGGAGATTAGATCAGTCAACAATCATCTGTGTTGAATAAGTGATTTCTGCAATGGAGTGAACCTTCCACATGAGAGGATTCACAATCACATTGTTGCCAGAAGGATTGCCTATTCATTTTTTAGGATGGTTATGTTTTACTCCATTTGTGTGCATGACTTAATTGAATATAGCCTTAACCTTTAGAATTTCTTTCCACGATGCTCAAATGTATGTCTTTTTATTTAAATATTGTTAGGAAGATAAAGAATACACATTTATTTTTTTATTTAATTCAAATTCAATTTAGAAATACTTCATCAATTCCAAAAGAAAATTAAATCTTGTTGTAACTCGTGTCTTTTTTGCAGTGAAAGTGTATGGGTTTATTATAGGCCATCCATAAAAGGTATACAGCTATTCATACAACCTCACAGGTGTTCAGGCTTGCAGCTTAGAATAGGTGTTTTGTTTAATCTGAAATTTAGAAATATGTATAAAGACATGAAAAACAGCATCAAAATGGCGACATAGAATACCGTTACGTGGGCTTTATGCATGGAGGACCTCATTATCTACCCAATTATCTACTATAGATTGACATTCAGTCCATGCACCTATTCAATTAATGAGTAAACTTCAGATGTAATCATTCGTTTTTACATGCAGTGCTTCCCTGGTCGAAGCATGTTGTTGCTCTATGTATTATCTTTATTTCACATAAAAAAAACTATTTATATCCTATTGAATAAAACAAAGACAGAAACTAATCCGCAATGGCATCTTTCCAATTGCCGAAAGAAGTAATGGAAGCATTTGCTGCCATGCCGCATATTGTTTTCAGCCTCTCAAAGAGCATAACTCATACTTAAAATTAGATTTCACTTTTCCTCAAATGGCTGGGTCGTTTCTTCAGTTTGTGTATTTCATTTTTATTATCTTCTGCATAAATGTCAGTGTGCAGAATTATATTAGCTGCTTTGTTTATTCCAGTCCTGTTTGTCTTTATTTTTGCATGCACTGAGCCATTAAATATAAACCTGATGGTGGGCTCTCTTTGTTGCACTGACTCTTCCAATGTGGCCATGCGCTTCGTATTTGTTAGATTTGCTCTTAAATGGGAAAAATGGCTGTAGGAACCTGTCTGTGAACAACTTTGATATGCTCCAGCCTCACTCCAAACACCATGGACACACAAAACAATCTGCTATAATTACATTTTTCCTCATGCAGTGACTCTTTCCTTTCCTTTTGAACAGACCTTCCTCCTCCAGCCACAAGGGAACGCCCCCCAGGTTGCAAGACCGTGTTTGTCGGTGGTTTGCCGGAAAACGCCACGGAACAGCTCATCATGGAGGTTTTTGGGCAGTGCGGCGATATCACGGCCATTCGCAAAAGCAAGAAGAACTTCTGCCACATCAGATTCGCAGAGGAGTCCACAGTAGACAAGGCTCTCTTCCTGTCTGGTAAACTTTCATACCTTTAAAATCTCGACTGCACATTGCAGTTATTTTGTCAATGCAGTGCAGACCTAGTTGGAAGCAAATTTTTCAGTGTTGAATGATGAGAACTTTAATATATTAAAAACAGGATTATCAGGAGTGGTTGGGTTTGTTTGGTATCTTCCCACAGGCCCAGGTTGTAATCATATTCCATACATTGATGGATTCATGTGTTGACTTTTCTTTTCCAATTAAACAATTAATACATGAAAAGCAGCACAGTAGAAGATCTTTTTACAGAACTAAAGCTAAAACTATTTAACGTTATTAGTTCTGCATAAAGCCTATTTAAAGAGACACTATGTCAGTTTTTACAAAATAATATCTTTAAAATAGGCTTTTTATTTGACCCTTAACGACTAAAACATTGTTTCATGAGCAGACTGAATCAATAGGTCATTTCCGATGCATCTATAATCCTGTATCCAATTTTCCTGAAGTCAGAAGTTCCCACGCTGTTCTGCTGATGTGACGTCATGCTCCTCCATGTTGGATTGGTCCGACCTAGCAAACAATACAAACCTTATATTCAAGATGTTTTTTGTGGATACTCAGAAGAGATCAGCATCCAGCTAAACTCAGACAAGAACCGTAACTCCATCTAGGGAGAAAAAGTAAAAACAAAAAACCTTCCGTAAAAGTTTAAAAAACAATCCACTGGACTTGGTTTCCAAGGTTTGAAGACGTTTCTCTTCCCATCCAGGAAGCTTTCCTAATTCAAATGTCTGGATCCGCAGTGAGTTTGAGTCTTTATGTAGACAAGGCCTTGTATTGCTTGGCAACATGCAAATGGAAACTGACGAGTGGGTCGTTTGGTTCCATTGTTAGTCTGTAATATCTGAAACCTGTCTATGATTCTGAAGGTCGGTCTAAACTTTTACAGAATGACTATGACCTGGATAACTGAGAATCTTCATCAGCAAATAACGAAAAACCTTGATAATTATGAGCAGAAGAGTGCTGCAGTTCTGTGTTTCGGCCACAAAACATTACAAAACTCTGTAATGTGCCTTTAAAGACAAAGAAGTTTTACATCTAAAATGCATATATTTTTGATTCATTTCTGGCTTAATTACTACTCTGAATTAATTTTTATTTCAGAAAATGCATATTTTAAAGTTGGTGTACTCCAGTTAACAAGTATATAATGTGATAAATGAGTTGGCATTGGTTTCAGTGATCCATTAAATACAATTAGTTAATTCTCTGAATAATTGTTTCAGCACATAAGGGAATTTATCTAAAAAGCAGTTTATCTACTTTGTACATGTAGAGATGCATAATTTTGTAGAAAAAGGAAGTGTGTAATGTTTTTTTTTTTTTTTTTCGGCACTAGTGGCTCGTTTTTTCAATAGAATAACACGAAAGCGGTATGAGAGAGGGGGAGAGACACGTGGCAATGGTTGGATTCGAACCAGGTTCGGCCGCATCGAGGACTAAGGCCTCTGTACATGGGTCGTGCACGCTAACCAGTGCACCACCTGCGCGCCTGAACCGTCTAATCTTAAACTATTGTGCTTAGGGGAAAGAAAAGTGCTTTTGATATTTAATAGTAATCCATGAAAACCAAAACTCACTCTTATCTTTAAATGGAAGGTGCCTCAAACTATTGTTGAAGTAAAGCCTGTTTATAACTGAATTAAGTGTATAAATAGCATTTTTACCGCAACGCTTTCTCAAGAGACTTTTTATGATCTGAGAAGATGAGGTTATTTTTTTTTTTGCCTCTGTGATTGTATGTAATTAGTCCCTCAGCATGATGGCAACACCTACATACTTAACAGTTGGTACAATGTTACTAGGTAAGAACGTCTCATCTGGACTCCTTCAAACATTAGAGTGCGTTTAAGGAGTTGAGGTGAGACTTTAACATCTAAAACCACTGTGTTAACTGTTAAACACGGCGGTGGTGGTATTGTGGCGAAAGTCACTCTTGCACCATTTAATTATTGAAGGAGGCTTCCCATAAAGTCCCGTGCTCCGTCACAAATTCACACCATTTGAAATCTGGACTAAGTATAGTTTCCCAACACGACAATAATACTAAATATACTTTAGTAGCAGTTTTGGGAAAAAAAAGTAAAATTACCTCCAATTTGTTAAAACACTTTTCTACAATGCAGGCCTGAAAATTAAATAAAACTAGTTGGTTTCTTAAAGAGACATCTCTTTAAATAATAATGGAGATGGAAAATGCTATTTGGATTTAAATACATTCACAATCATTTTAAAGTTTAATGACAGTCAGGGTTTGAGGGTTTTTATTTAGAAATGTGAAGATCGGCCTGATTTATGACACCTAGCTGAGTTTGTTGTGTTGCATTTAACCTTAATTAGATTATTTAAAGCTCTAATTAAACAATTAGGAGTTACTTTATAGAGACAAACATGTAGCTGTGGCGTCGCATAGATCAGCATCAGTTCATTTTGGACTGAAAATGGGAAAAATTAGATCACAAAGGACCTTAAATTCCCAGTTTATCAGCTTGTGATTCAGAACAGTAATAGTGAGGAAAGACATAGTTCAGTAAGAAAAATCCAGATTACTAAATAATAAAAAAAATCTCTACCACCTATCTGGCTCCACTTTGTGTGCTTTTATCTCGTCTTCATTTTCAAGCTGAACAGAACAGAGATGCTCAATCTCTCTGTGGAAACCGATGACCACTCTCTCCTGCTTTAAAAAGCCCACTCAGATGAGCCAGCCTCTCAGAAATATTCCCAGCTTAAGTGAGTGTGTGTGTGTAAGCGTGTGTGTGCACAAATCCATGAGAGATAGTGAGTTTGAATGAGAGATCCCTTGATTTCAGCAGCCTCTCTTCTTACAGTGAGGTGTGGGTGCAGAGGTTCATATATTAGAGCGATGACAGGGCTATGTAGTTTCCCCATAAATAATCCCCCACCCACACACACTCAGGGAGAGCCTGTGCAAACAACAATACCCAGCAATGACACACTCAGGCAGCTCCAGCACACCAGCTTCTCCTCATATGAAATATTAAGGCTGCGCTAGATTAAGAGTCTAAGGCAGTGAGAGCAGACTGAAGTAGAAACTCCTAATTTTCTCTTTCATCTCGATTCCTGATTTGTCTGCAATCTCTTTCTTTGAGTATTTGGATCATTTAAACCACTTAAACAAAAGGATTGTAATTAATTCAACAGCTGGACATTTTTAAAACAAAACAAGTATGATAGAGTAGGTATAAGAGGGAAGTTAAGAGTGTTAATGAGGACTATTCTGGTCTCACTGAGCACATAGAGCTACACATATCAAACAAGATATGGAAAAAAAAAACAACTATAATGCATTATGTCCTCTAATACTAAGCTGTTTTTTGTCTGTTAAAATAGTTCTTTCTCTCCACTGTCACCGTGTGTTTCCTCAGGAGGAGAGGTTTCTGCACAGTCACCATATTGGTGGAAATAATGGAGCTAAAATTGTTATTTAGCTGTTTATAATACATCAATTATAATACATAAATTTTTGGTTTAGTCATGTGCTGTGAATTTTTTTTTTATTTTTCCAGAGATAGAAAAATCTGATTAATCCTTTCTTAATAAATATTTCACTATTAATTGACAGTCTGCTTCATGTCCCTAAAAACCTGGTGGTTTACGCTCTCATGGAATGTTGTTTTTATTTTTGTCTCCGAATATAAACTGTGTAAAGCATTTTAACCTGTAATCCTTAAATATTGTGACTGGAGGATTTACTGTGACTGTCTTCACAGAGAGCTAAGAAAGCAGAAGTCATTGATTTAAATTCTTTGATCCGTGAGAGTTAAGGTTAAGATACGACTGTAGAGATTTTGAAAAAGGGCTGCGTACTGCCTTTATACCAGGGCTGTTATTTTGGGATTGTATCTCTTATCTATATCATCTATTTTCAAATAAATTCAAAGGTTTTTTTGGTAAAAAATAGATTTTTAAACCAGTTATCTGTATCTTTGCTAGGTTATCGAATCCGTTTGGGCTCCAGCACAGACAAAAAGGACACCGGTCGCCTCCACGTTGACTTTGCACAGGCCAGAGATGACCTGTATGAGTGGGAGTGCCGCCAGCGCATGCTGGCCCGAGAGGAGCGCCACAGGCGCAAGATGGAGGAGGATCGCCTGCGGCCGCCCTCCCCTCCTCCGATTGTCCACTATTCAGAGCATGAGTGCAGCCAGCTGGGGGACAAAATCAAAGGTAGACACAGATGCTAGCAGCCTCTGAGACACAGAGCTTCTTCATCACATGAGGGAATATTCTTCAAGTTTAAACTTGATATGATATGAAAAAGGCAGCCGGGTTTCTATAAAATAATGTCATCTTGTTTAGATGTTTTTAAAGTCTGGGGAAGTGTGTGGGGATAAAAAGGGAAAATGGGAAATATTTTTGTTGTTCCAGACTTCATTTCCCGTTCCTTTGTCTAATTGTTGTTCATTGTCCTCCTTGCACACCTCCCTCCTGGTGTCCTCATCCTTTCTTCTTTGGTGGTGGTGGTCAGCAGCCCAGTGGCGCCGATGTCAGTCTGCCCCAGGGCAGCTGTGGCTACGATCTAGTCAATGAGGAGTAAAGCTCTTTTCCCATCTTCTTCCTTCTTTTTTCTCATCTCTTTCCTTATGTCCTTCAATTCTTCCTGTATTTTCTTCTCTCTTTCCTCTCTGTACCCTTATTTTCTTTGATACTTATCTCTTCCCACCATCTTTGTCTTCTCTTCTATCTCATTTACTTTGTTCCTTTCTCCATTCCTTAGTTTTATTCATAATAGCCTTGCTTTTTTCCTTGCATCTTTCCTTCCCTTCTTACTTGAAGTCTGACATTTCTGTAAATGAATCAAATTTTAAATTTGTAAAATACATTTTAAAGTAGAAACTGTTTAGGAGAGCTCAAGTAAATAGATATATTACTGGGTGTCTCAGGAACAGTCCTGAAGTTCAGCATGTACCTCCAACAAAGTATTTCAGGTGTTCTAACAAACTGTGGGAGCTTCCTCTACCAGTCTGTTAAACAGTGCATAAGTGGGTCCCTATAACCTGCTCCTTGTTTATCTCATCCGCCCTCACAACTCATCCTACATTCCAAGGCGCTCTTTTCTGCCTTTTTACAGTTTTCTGTCGACTCTCTGCCAGGATAAACTTGTTTCTCTAATGAGCAGTAGCACTTCCAGCTCTCCGTCACAGTGGCCTGATAACATCATGGCCATGACTTTCTGTCTCTCTACCATCTGCATAGGGTTTTTTCTCTTCTCCGCTGCCTGGCCCTCGCAAAAACCAAGAAATAAACTCAGAAGCTGTGCTGTTTCAGCCAAGAGTTTGTTTGTGATCTCTCCGGGCTGCTGTTGGGAGCAACACAGTCATTTGCTGCAGATTTTAGTTGACTTTTTTACCCAGAGGGAGAAAGAGATCTTGCTGTTTTTACTGCCAGTTTGTATTACTGTACTCCAAACTCAGTTACACACTATGATGACAGACCACCTGCAGTAGAAATGGGTTTTATAGCCTATTTTGCCTCCAAGTTGTCATTTTAGCCCATAATGTTGTTTGTTAGCAAGATATACAGCTTAAGTGATGGCTTTCTTCTTGTGGTGCAACAGAGCTGTAATTCTGGGGAAGGAGGTTATCTTTCAGTCATTTTTTTTTACTTTTACTCAGTGGTAAAAAATTGTGAAATATTATGAAATGCAGGTGCTCGACCGACAATGATTTGATTTCACTTTGTCCTTGCTTTTGTTTTCCGTAGACGATGGAAAGTTTCCAGAGGCCGTGCGAGTGCTCCTGACCTGGCTGGAAAGGGGGGAAGTCAATCGCAGAAATGCCAACAACTTCTACTCCATGATCCAGTCCTCCAACAGCCACATCCGCCGGCTGATTGGTGAGAAGAGTCAGCACGAGAAGGAGATGGAGGAGGCCAAAGACAAGTTCAAGACGGCTCTGGCTGGCATAGTGGCTCAATGTGAGTCTCTAACATTTCTCCTCCTACTTACCACAGTGCCTCGCACCTTTAGTGTTCTGAGACTTTGTCCTTATATAAACTCAGACTTTAGTTTTTTATAAAGATTTTATGTCACTGACTACTGAGTAATGCATAATCTAAAAGAAAAAGAAAGAAAATGAACCATGGTTTTAACCTTTTCACTTATCTTATTTCACTTATATCTTATTTCACTTATCACCATTTCTGTAGATTAACAGAAAGAACTGCAGTTGTGCATTTGTTTTTAACCCTACCAGCTCCATACTTTATACAACCAGCTGGGTCTAATTCGGGACTAGACACTAACCTGGCAGTAGCCAGGTTGATATGTATAGAACTGAGTTGAGTTTTAAGTTATCAATCTGGGATGGCTCCACTTCAGTCTGTCTGTGAATAGGAGGGGTATTTAGTACAACACTTTGAACTGGTTGGGTAACGTGCCAGCTAGTACCTGTCTTCCATAATATGCCTTCAGCCAATTGCAGCAGCGAATACCCAGGATTCCAGTCAATAGGATTTGTCTGCAGCTTCTTGAGTATTTTTACAACTAGAGGAGTGACATGATAAATCAAACTTTTCCATATTCTATCGGGAGAACACTAATATGATTTAAGTCATTCTATGTTATATGTTATTATATTATGTCTTGATTTAAATTAGAAATATGTTTTAATTTTTTAGATGCAGTCAATAAATAAACATTTAAACGTAACATGACATGCAAATGTAAGTAAACGTGAATAAGGATGTTGCGGACTAGGATTAAAAAACATAACTAAATGTGTGCAGTAAGTTCGGCAAACGGAAAATCTGTTTGAATTGAATTTAAGTTCAGATAACTTGAGTGATAAGTTAGAGGAGCAGGATGACCCAACAAGAAAATTGGTCCCACACAGCTGAAACCTTTGTTTTGCCTTAAGGTTGCTCCATATTTCTTGATAAATTTGATAATGAAGCGCAAAAGATCCGAGATTTTTTTTCGCAGATCTCGTTGACAGATGTAGTTATAAACACAGTTTATTGCGTCAGTTAGTTTGAAGCAGCTCCTGTATCGGTCACGTGACTTTGTTAAAACGATACACGCACAAGGTTTGGCTCTGTGAGCTCCACACATGCGCTGATGTGACAAAAAAGAGATCCTGATGAATGAAACCATCTCAACAGTAAGGTTATTTTTCCTAATGCTATGTAATCTACACTGTGTGCAGAATTATTAGGCAAATGTATATTTTGACCACATCATCCTTGGCTTGAAAGCCAACTACCAATTAAGTGAATCAGCTGGTGTGCATCTCTTTAATGAGAAGGGCTGTGGCCTAATGACACCCAATATAAGGTGTGCTTAATTATTAGGCAACTTCCTTTCCTTTGGCAATTTGGGTCAGAAAAGAGATTTGACAGACTGAAAAGTCAGAAAATGTCAAATGTCCTTCAGAGAGGTGCAGCAGTTCAAGCTTCAAGCTTTTGAAGCGGGATCATCGTCCAATCAAGCGGTTCATGGCAAATAGCCAACAGGGGCGCAAGAAGCATGCTGAGCAAAGAAGACTCAAAATAACTCCCCATGAATTGAGAAGGATCAAGCGTGTAGCTGCCAGGAAGCCATTAGCCACCAGTTGTGCCATATTTCAGAGCTGCAACATGCCTGGAGTGCAGAGAAGCACAAGATGCTCAATACTCAGGTACCTGGCCAAGGAAAGGAAAGCCAAAAAAAAGGCCACTTTTGAACAAGAGAAAACATCAAGATTGGGCCAAGAAATATCTGAAGACTGATTTCTCCAAGGTGTTTTGGTCTGATGAAATGAGAGGGAGTCTTGATGGGCCAGATGGATGGGCACCAGGCTGGATCAGTGAAGGGCAGCAAGTTCCTTATTGACTCAGACGCCAGCAAGGTGTAGGTGGGGTACTGGTTTTGGCTGGTATCATCAAAGATGAGCTTTTGTGAGCTTTTCGGGTTGATGATGGAGTCAAGATTAACTCCCAGAAGTACTGCCAGTTTCTGGAAGACACTTTCTTCAAACAGTGGTACAACAAGAAGTCACCATCATTCAAGAAAAACATGATATGAACAGTTTCTGGGAGGCTGTGGTGGCTGCTGCACGCAATGTGGATCGCAAACAGCTAGACGTAAGGCTTTTGAGCGTCATGGTGAAGAGAGGTGGCTATATTGGTCACTGATTTGTTTTTGTTTTTTTGTTTTTGAATGTCTCAAATGTTTATTTCTGAATTTTTACTTGTTATTTTGGTTTACCTGGTGAAAATAAACAAGTGAGATGGGTATATATTTGTTTTTTATTACGTTGCCTAATAATTCTGCACTGTAATATCACACAATTGTGGCCCAATAATAAAAATAATCCTCAAAAATACAACTTGTCTAATAATTCTGCACACAGTGTATATAGGGTGATGTGAGGTGCAAGTTTTAAGCCAGAAATAGTGCTTTGTTTAAAACCTGTTCTGTATAGCATCTGTAGGTTTTCATGATACTGTTTCTCTACTAATGTTGACTAAGAACTGCCAGAGGCCTAAAGACAACATCTTTATTTATTCTGAGGTGAAAGGTCAGACAAAAAGGAAAGTTAATACAATTATAAGCCACACTTTACACATTATTTATTTGTATAAACCTTTGGAAACCACTATTTACCTTCCACTTCATAAGTATGCTTTACTTTAATTTAGTCAATTACATAATATTTAATCACAGTACTTGGCTGAGAACTGATTATATGTGACGCTAAAGGAGTAAAATCAATCCTCTTGGAATAGATATGCAGTCAGATGGGCTTTAAAATGGTAGATCTTTTTTCTTTATGTTACATATTAAAATCTAAATTGAGACTTACTTGCCTGGAGTGCTGATATCCCCTTAAAAGTAAGTATTTTTTTGTTCATAACCTGACATTTATATTATATGTGCAAACATTTACAAATATGTTCATCCCATTCATTAAATAAACAGCCATGATCTAAATTGTTGATTAAACAATGGTAAGTTAAAGGGCTTTCAGATTAAAAGGGAAGAAAATGTTTTTTTGTTGCCTTTGAACTGAAAAATACCTACAAAAGTTCGAGGTTATTTTGGGATTCATGAAAGGCGAGACATCAGGAGTCTGTTATTAAGGTTCCCTTCAGATGAAAGAAGTAAGTAGCCTAACACGTTTCTTTTTTTAAACTAGAATACAATGGAGACCAAACATGCACAGTAACTGCATGCTAAGTTCTTATGAGCTCCTATAAAGCCAAAGGCAGAAAGCCCCATGCTTGTGCAGCTCCCACCTTTGACAGCTTGAGCTGTGCAGATGCCAGTTTACACCACAGCCTGCAGCGCTTCATCTCCACGCATCCCATCACACGCATGCTAAATAAAATGTAAACATCCAGTCAATCCTCAGTCGCAGTTGGTAGTGTTTCATGCATTGTTTATTAAATCTGCCATCTTCAATTATTTTGACCCATATACATTCTCATTCATGGTGCTGCCTTTCCTGTAAGTTTGGTTTTTAGTTTGATTAAAAATGTGCTCTGACCCACCGGAGCTATTTTACAGGTTTGAACTGATGGCTCTCCTTTTTATAATATGCACAGTTCTTCATTTCTTTGTTGCTATGTTAAGTGTGATTGAAGTGGTCTTTTTATAGGGAGCAAATTCAAAGATGTTTTGCAGAGTTGTGGAAACGGATATGCACTCTTACAGATTTCTACTTTTCCCTTTTTTTAAAAATTGACCTGGGTGAAAATAAAATGCTGTTTTTAATAGATTATTTATTTCAAGTGTAAAAACCTTGGCCCTTTGACAAAGAGTAATTGCCCCTCTTGTTAAAACATGAATTAACTGTAATTAACACAAGTGTTTGGATAGCTGATTGATTTTAAACCTTTATAATCAAGAAACCATTAAAACAGACAACATGAAAAAGGCTGACATCACAAAAGACAACATTCAATATAACGAACAGTCATTCATATCTACCAGTGTGAAAAATGTGGACTGACCTCGTCAGCTTTTAACTGAAACTTTCCCATCTGTCAGATGTAAAACAATCCTCATATAAAAGTTTTAAATGCTAAAGAATTATTGTTTTTCACTCAGCAGCATAAGGATCTACAAAGCTTTTGTTCTCTATCATATGAAGCTATAATTTAAAAGCCTTTTTTTTTTCGGAGAAATGATGCAAAACATTTAAGTGTAACAACTAAAGCAAAAACATTCCAAATCTGTGAGAGAGCAAATCCTTTATAACAGAAACCTTTTTATGTGAAGCAAAAAAAAAAGCATAAAAAAACAAGATTTAAAGATTTTCTTAAAACGTAGAATTCTTAGAACGAATAATTTTCTTTTTGTGCTCAGTTTCTGTCTTTGCCTTCATCATCAGTCTGTTCATCAGATTACATGGAAGATGCTATTGATTCCTGAGTTTCTGTGTCTTTTAGCACCCTGCAAACACACCTTTTCATACAGAATCTGTTTGTTTTATTCTTCTGTGTACATTTGGAGTTCAGAAAGTCGCAGATCTCCCAAAAGGTCCTCTAAAACCACTGCAAACAGAGCTGTAAGCTCAGGGGATGAAGACCTATTATGCTGCGGATCACTGCACAGGCAGGGTCTGCAATGACCCTAAAGTTGATGCTTTTGACTCATTCAAGCAATTTTACCCATAAATAACTCAGATAGCTGATTCAAAGTGTAATTCTCAACAAGAATTCTGGAGCTGCATGTTGTCTGATCTGCTCTTATTCTTTGTAAAAAGGAAAAGCATCCTCTGCAGAGGAATAAGCAATCAGAAGACTGTAATGCTGCAGTAAGAAGGCATCTTTGAGTAACATTCTAACGAGACCTGCTCTGCAGAGGAGCTGCACCATGGTCAATGCTGGCAGAAGAACAGTAGGTTATTTTTGGCCGCCGGCAGTCTCTGAGCAAATCTAATAACAAACTTGCACTGAAAAGGTGCACTAAGGAAAACCAAGCATATCCTCATCGCTTCTGTTACCAAGAGTCAAAGGCAGTTTGCCAGGATTTGATACAGCCTCATATGGACCCTGTGCTGTCAAATGAAACAAATAGCTGATTTTAATGTATAAGTGGGATTTGGGCATACAGGTTCTAGTAGTTATTTAATTTGATATTGCACACCCTTTAATTTTTATTATTTTCAAAAGATTGTAAACATATTGCAAATTAAATGTTTTGGCAAAATCATACAGCCTTACTTTGAAGCCAAAATAAATGCACAAAGACCTTAAAAGGAATAAAGTATAAATAAAAATTTAGTGACCGGATGTATCTGAGATGTTAATGAAACAGCAGCTATGTATTGGTCAACTGATAATAATAATAATAATATTACATTTGATTTATACTGCACTTTTCATCAAAAAGACCTCAAAGTGCTACAAAAAAGAAAAGCATTAAAAAAAGAGATACATAAAGATTAAAAAAAATAATAATGAAAGCTGATAGTAAGCATGATATTGTGATCGCCTGGGTGTGATTGCTCTTAGAGTCATCTTATAACCTCTTGATCAACCTGGACCCACATTAATACCTGGTCTGAACAGAGCCAGTCCAACAGCAGAAACCTCCTGCAGAACCTGCAGTCTGCAGAAACAGCAATCAGCTGCAGCCAGCTAGAGGAATGACAGACAAAGCACTCAGACAGAAAACACAGAAGCATTGGTCCAGGGATACTTTCTATTAAAAAGGAAAGGGTTATGCAGCAGTAGCTCATATGATCTATGGGATAAAATACATGGAACATTAGTCTTCAGTACACCTTCCTATTTTATTATTTAGAGTTCTTTGATTTGATCAACCATGAGGTTATTGTACCATTTTTAAATGAGTAGATTTTAAAAACACTGGACTAAAAAATGAAGCCAGGTGTAGAAGAAACTTCCTGGGGCGGATTGCTTGTTTTATGTACCCCAAATATTGTGGTAAAAATAGCAGATGTTCACAATGAGCAGCATTCATAGATAAAACACTGAGACATCCTTACAGTTCAACAGTCATTTTTATATCTGAATGGATGATAAATAATTTTTGACAAAGAAGGTCAGAAAGTGATATATCCTGGGATTAAAAGTTTTATAGGCCAAAGACTTTTAGGAAGACATATTATTATGTGTCGTATTGATTTAATTTGAATGATTTCTGAACTGTAACTTGGAACATCCATCCTTAGGATGGTGCAGCGGCATCAGTCATAGGTATGTTAAACACACAAACATGCTCACACAGAGTTCTTATGCCTAGTTGACTCCACTTTCTCACTCCTCTGCTCCCTCCCAACTGCCCTCTGTCTTTCTCTGTCTCTGTCTCTGGGTGGTCTCTGCTCCTTCCCCGCATCCCGCCACAGTTGAGCAGATTGTGTCTGTATTCCAAGCTGCTTCCAAACAAAAGGCATGGGACCATTTCTCCAAAGCTCAGCGCAAGAACTTGGACATGTGGCGCAAACAAGTCGAGGTTGGTGCACTTTGATTTCATTGTGTTTGTTGTATAAAATATGTAAAATAGATATTCTGTTTTGTTTTTTACCTTGTTTCAGTGAGAACTTAACTATGTTTGAACTAGTCTTACAGTGTGGAACAGAAAGGGGATAATTATTAAAATGTTTCTTGAAGCAATGCAGAAAAGCAGGCTATAGTAAGTACTTTGCAATAAGCCGACCCTGTTCAGCAGCTTCTATTAGTTCAGAGGTCCAGACTTCTCCCTCTGTCCTCCTCCCCTTCTGAATGAATGAATACAAGCTGCTGGGTGAGCGCTGCCATCTTAAAGGGTGTCCTGGAAACAGGTAAATCTGTACAAGCTCTTTCCCCCTAAACCAATGGATTCCAGGGTTATGGCGAGAAAAACTTCTTAAGTGAAAAGTGAAAGTGTGTGGATTTTCTTCCTCAGGCAAGACTGCTTTATCATTTGCTTGCTGCGCTCTTACTCTGCCAAATGGAACATTAATTGGCATGATGATGGTTTGTATGTAATGGAGGATTTGGAGTGTGTAGTAGTCCGGAGTCTAAAGGATCATTTATGGTCATGTTTCGATTGGTAAGTTGTATTTTTTTAACTTCAGCTCGACAAACATACTCAAGCTGTAATTTAGGGACACATTAAGTCGGGTACGCATAATAAAAACTGAATCTGTGGCAGAAGCAGCAGTTGTCCTGTGCTAAAACCTCTCTTTATAAGGTAGGTGATTGAAAGACTAACTGTTGCTTTGATTGTCAGAACTATAAAAACAGTCGACCTGAAGTCTTACCAGCTGCATCGCCTTCTGTCACTGCAAAGGTTTAAATGTGGCTTCTGTGAAAGTTTGTTGGTTGAGTGATGAAGCCGCTCTATGTTCTTACAGCTGTAATCATCAATGTGTTTTAGTTGGATTTTCTTTGATAGACCAACACAAAATGAAATGGTAAATAGCCTGTACTTATGTATCACTTTTTAAGTCAGGAGACTCCATAGAGCTTTAAAATACAATACATTTACTTTTTTTTTGTGCTACTAAAAGCATTCAGACAGACATATATATATATATATATATATATTTTTTTTTTTTTTTTTTTTTTTTTTTTTTTTTTTTTTTAAGTAGATATATATATCTTAAGTAGATATATATATATTAAGTAGATATACGTTTTTACTTAAACATCATGCAAAGGTTCCAAAGGTGTGATTATTTTTTCCTGGCTCTCTATACTAATGATTTCTTATTTATTTCCTCTGTATTTTGGTTTGAACCATATTACAGCTTTTCTATATCTAGGTCTCTCTCGCACTTATATTTCTTCAGTGGCTACTTCAGTTCTGCCCTGCGTTATTTATTTCTGTGAGCACTCGGTCTGCCTCCAGTGAAAGCCGCTGGCTTCGGATAAATATGAGGAGGTAATAAGAGCCGCAAGACGCAGCCATAGGTTTGTGTGAAGGTCAGAGAACCATAATAATGGGTTTTTAGTGTGAAAAACCTCATGTAGCTGCTCATCTATGTTAAATCACAACAAATTACTTATTTACTCTGGAAAATAGCTTGATGCAAGCTTGTTTCCACAGAAATCAGACTTGTATGCTGTGAACCTGTGTCCACAGCGAACTGAACTGTGGCAGGGAGGGAGGTGAAACATTTAGAAGAAAAGGAGGAAAAGTTAAATGGATTCAGCTCTGCTCCTCAGTCAGACAACAGCTGCTTCCTCCTGTCAGTGTGCTTCTCTCCCACCAGTGGGTTGGATGCATTAATGTGCTGGTGTGTTTGGAGTACCTGTGTGACTCCTTCCATGAGTTTTAGTTGCTGACGTCAGTCGGCAGATGGTTGATTTACGGTACTCTCTGCTAACTTTAGCGAGAAACAACCAAAAAATAAAACCAGCCTGCCGGTTTCCAAATCCTTTCATACTTTACCATTTCTACATCATATAATCTTCTGTGTTTTAATTATCGGCTAATTAAAGCTTAATAATAATGCTTGAGGATGATCTTTTTGGCAAATATGTATGAAAAAGTGTTATATTCTTGACTCCACAGAGTGGCTTTTATCTTCTTTTAGAGCTTTTAGAATTAGATGGTGCTAATATGCAGTTTTCTCAGCTGTTGATTTACAGATGATTATTTTAGAACCCTCATCCATCTAAAACTATTTTATTTTCTCAGATTTTTCTTGTCCAATATGCTGTGTGAAATCTCTGGAGCTTTATTTTCAATGGTGTGTGCTGTGTGTAAATTAACCATGAAAATGTGTCCTACTTAAATGTTTTTTTTCTTACAGAGTTTGATTTTCATCATTTCAAGTAGGAATCTATTTAGTCCTTAGCTGGATCCGTAGGCATTCAAAACAGTTATCTAATTACTATTTATTAAGGATCATCAATTTGCTAATTTTTTTCATCTAAACATAATGGCACCTTGCCTTTATTTAAGTGTGATAATTGCCTCAAATAGGAATCTTTTTATTTATTTTTTGAGGGGGGTGTTGCCTTATAGCAATGACTAGTTACAGAGATTAAGAGTGGCATCTTTTAAATTTCTATGCCTATTATCTATACAAGTCTTTGCTAAACAGACGTTGCCTCACAGAATCATTGACACTTTTCATATTCAGCATATCCATAAACTTTATTGCATTACATTGATGTTATATGTGATAGATAAACATAAAGAAGCAGAAATAATACAGTTAAAGCAAATTAAAACAATTGTTTTCCATTTTGTTCACTAATTAAAATCTAGAAAAAGTGTGCTATGTTCAGGCACTTCTACGGTGATACCCTGAAATGAGACCCAGCAGCATTCATTTGCTATTTAGTGAATGGAGTGAATAAATGTAGCAGTTCTATAAAAAATTATCACAACATCATGAAGACTAGAGACAAATTTGTGGAGAATCGATAAAAAAAAAGAGGATTTCTAAAATTCAAGCTTTAAACATCCCACAGATCCCTGTTTAATCCACTGTCCAAACATCGATGGAATGCGGCACAACTGCAAACTCACCACGTTTCTATGTCCATTCACTATATTTAACAGTGCAGATAGTGAGAGCATTAGCCAGAGAGGGATCCAGGAAGGCTAGGCTAGCTTTGTTAAAGCTGCAGGGATCCACAGCTCAGCTGGGACAGTTTGCTGAGGAGACGACTACAGTATTAGTCATGCTTACCAGCATATTATGTAAAGAGCCAAAAAAGAAAGCATGTTTGCCAGTTAGAGATGTAAGTAACAATGCAGACATGTGGAAGACCATCCTCTCAACAGACGAGAGCAAAACCTTTTGTTCTACTTGTAAAAGGTTCTATATGGCAAAAAATATATATATAAAATATAAATAAATAATAATCCCTATTGTAAAGCATGGTGGTGGCAGCCTCATGTTCTGGAAATACCTGTATGCAGCTATAGAGCTGATAGTTTGACAGAAGTAAATCCAGGATTTCTATAGAAGAAAATCAGTTTGAGGCTGTTAAAGACTGAATCCAGTGGAAACTGGTGCGCTCCATCTAAACTAACAGAATTTGAGGTGTTTTGCAAATAAAAATTGTCAAATGTTTCACTCTTCATTTGAGCTAAATGTTTCAAATGTAATGGCTGTCAATGGTACAGTATTTCAATGAAATATTAAAGCATGAAGGCTGAATAGAAAAGCACACCATAATCTTTATTTCTCTTTAGAAATAATCTCACACACAATCCTGACCAAACATTCAAATTTGATGTTTAGACATAAAGAAAACATTCTTTAACTGATGTTAAATTAGAAAAACATCGTCTCAGTGTTCTCCCAACCACATCTATAGTCTGAGCTCTGAAAAAGAAAGCAGGTCTTTAGTTTTGATGCATTTCATCTCTGTTCAGCTCCCTTCCTTTATCCTCCACCCATTCCTTAAAGCTCATACTCAACATTAACTATAGAAGAGGATTCTTTACTGGCGATTGCACCCAGTCAAGTTCAGCACTTTCTTTAAAGTCCTCATGAGTCTTGGCAGTTCTCACCCACCCCTCCTTTCCCTGTTTCACAGGAGATCAGAAACATGCACAACGAGCAGCTGATGGACATCAGACGTGAAGAGGAGATGGAGATGTCTGATGATGATATGGAGGATGTCCCTGACAGCAAAGACTCTGAAGACTCAGGTATGCATATGCATGCGTGGATCCCTGCTCAACGCTGTTCTCATCTTGACAGGAAATCGGCCAATCCAGATCTCCAGAGGTTGGATGCATTGATTGTTAAATAACTGAGGGAGATGACTGGAATGACAGTCATCATCCCCTATGAATCTGATAGCAGTCTTTAGCTCCACATGAATAAGAAAACAGGTTAAAAGTACTCCCTGATGCAGATAGTGTGCATGTTGCTCTGAGTTAGTGCAGAGCCTTTCTGCTTCTCTCATCTGCCAGCTGTTTTTTCAGATTGGGTTACGTTAGAAGGGCCATGATCTTCAGATTTTACCTCAGAGGAGTCTCTTTTTGTTTGCTGAGGCAGTGAAAGCTAATGGCGTTGCTTATCTCTCAAGCCCCATAACAATAAACTGAGAGCAGTCAACAGGGCATCGTCCAGAAAGCACTCACCGTCACATGTAAGGTTGCTGTCATCTGCTCCGTGTGCGATGCTTTCCTCATATACTCTTTCTTCCTCCCTGTTCATCACTCTGATCTCTGCCATTTGGTAATGTGACAGCATCTCTAATTAGCATGCAAATAAATGTAAACGCTGCAGTCAGCTCATTTGCAACCTTGCTATTTAGCTATCAGCGATTAGTGCTGCTGTCAGAGTCTTGTCATTTCACTCGATTCTGCAGGATTGGCTGAGGTGACGGGTGTTAATGTAAAACGTCTGGGTATTTGTGTTAACAGGCTGAGTGTTAAGCCCCCTTTACCTCTCTAACCTTTAAGAATGCATGTTTACACACCAACAAGCCCTGCTTGAAACACCTGTGTTATGACTGCAGCCTCTATAAAACGAATCGAAGCTTTGAGTCTGAGCCGTGTGCAGAATAGAAAGACGAACCGCTGGTTATTGTTGGCGAATGTGCACCTGGAGGTGTGTGCGTGCATCCCTGCTCACGGATAGCTGCGGGTCGATAGCGCTGCTAGTTATGTAACTGAATCTGGGCACGCGGTTGACATCTCCTCTCACCAAGCTGATGAGGCTCTTAGATCAATACCCTTTTCACCTCGAACCTTCATTTTGCTGGAAGAGAAGCACACACAAGCTCCATCTGGACATGCACACTCACCCAGCAAGAGTTCATTAACACTGCCAATGGTCCTTCATGATAGACTGCTGGCAGCTCTCATGAACACCTACACATACCCTAATAAGATCTCCTTTTATATACACAGAGAGAGACGATGAGGATTATCTACTGTCCAGTCGGTGAATTGACTTTTTTTTTAAAGCTTTTTCTCAAGCCGTACAGAGGGGGGAGGGAGCTGATAGTTTCTGGTGCTGGGCAGATCTCATAATAATGATACCTCCCTCTGTCTGCTGCCTCTGCTCTACAGGTCAGGTCAAATATCCAGCAGGAAACTATTGAACAGAACATTCTTGGATTATTATACTCTCCCGTCATTGTTAATATTCTCCTGTTCTTTTGATTTATCAGACATGAGGTGAAAATTGTGCTTCTTGATGTTTGAAATTCAAATCTCATTGGAATAGCGAGATTTAAAGTTTTGGAATCTCCTAGATTTTTCTATAAAGATTTATTGATTTCTTAATCTAACTCAAAATTTTCTCAAGTTCCCAAATGGAAGAAAATACTTAGATTATCAGGTTGGTTTTGTTGAGCAGCTCCGGGTTTAAGACGGAACTCTCATATTAAGGAACATCCAGCAGGAACCTGGGCTCAATAGTTGGCGATTGGTTCAAACATTTTAATAATTTTATTTTCTTTGTTTTTTTTATTGGGAAAAGTAGTTGTGGCCCGCATCCAATGATGTTGGGCTGGGCGATGAATCAGATTTTTACAGTTACTGTCATTCACTACGATAACTGGCAACAATTTTTACATGTCGGTAAACGATATGAACGTAAATTTGCCGTTTGCCTTCGGTTACTGGTGGCTGGTATTTTCTTCCCCTTTAAGAAACTGCCGCAGGTGTGGTAATGGCGCGACCCCGCCGATCCAGTCAAAAGCGTAAATAAAGTGAATGGCGTATGAGTCGTGTGAAGAAGCGTCTAACACAATGTAAATTACATCAGTTAATTCTATGGAGCCGCGTGAGAGCAGAGATGAAGCTGAACATGCAGAGAAGAAGCGCATTGTCAGAGATAAGCACGCAGCAGACCGGTTTTGAGCGAAGGTGTGCGAGTTTAAACAATTCACATTGTTCTCGCTGCACGCTCAGTTCGGTGGCACCAAAATTATGCCATAGATGTTGAGCAAAAGCACAAGAAATGCAAAGTTTGTTTGAAAACTGTCAGGAATACCCAAAGTAACACATCCAACCACCACCTCCTACAGCACAACCACGCTGCTGAGTTCAAAGATGTGCAAAAGGCTCCATTACCTTTGCACAAAAATGTTTAAAATAGAGGAAACGTGTTTCTCCTCTTCAATGAGAAATTGTTGAATGTTTAAACTTGAACGGGTAAAAAATACTTTAATATTTAATTGAAATTAATATGTAATTGGATTTATTCAATAAATACATTTTAAATAGATCAGTTGCATTTCCTGCACATGTCTTTATTTCTGATAGAGGAGCCGGAGCATCTATTGTTATCGAGGTAAAACTGCCCAGTTCGTATCACCCAGCCCTACTTTGATGCATAGTAATTTAAGGGATACACAGTTTTAAAGGTGTTACGTTTGAGACTTGTGTTTAGGGAAGACGTTGCAATATCATGACCTCTGAGACAACACCACCTAGTGATTAATTTTATGATTTTTTGTTTTCTGAACAAACTCCTGAAACCAGTCTGGGTGAGTTTGAATACATCCCTACGTCACCTCTGTCTCGACACACCTATCCACACAATGGGCTAGGAAGTGGCAACTCCGGGCCATCATAGACCTCACATCTATGTTGGCATTGATACCCTTGATATGCATGTTTGGACAAAAACATTAACATTAAAGGGATTTCAGAAACGCAGTTCTGTTCAGATTCTCTTCAGTCTATTGTGGATTTTACAGTGAAAACATTTTGCTCCTCTGTTGTTGGTCTAAAGAAACAGCTCTTTTCTTTCCTCTGTGTTCAGTGTTTACATCCTGCTTCTATTTACACCTTCTACCTTTACATCTGTGGCAGCGTTATGGCACCACCCCCTGGCTTGGATATAATTATTGCAACACCCATTACAGCGGTTTCATCTTTAAACTCAAGCTTTTCTGTGCTGATTACTTATTTTAATGTCCCCAACATAATTGTCCAATTTCCCTGGCTGAATATGAAATGTTAGCCAACAATTAAACCATGCTGAATTAGCTTCCTTAAATTTTTGGAGTCGGTACAGGTACATGTTGGATACCTCTATGCATTACTTATCATCTCGTACTGGGACTCATCATCTCTCTGACAGAGAAACTGATGACCCCATTGAATGCTAGCAGAAAAGCCTCCAGCCAAAAGTTGGCCTCAGTTTGACATCATGGTCCTTGTGCTGTCAAATTGGTCTCATGGTGCCACATACATTGGTATAAAACGCAGTTTTGCACGGATAGCATAAAAGAATCAAGCTGATTTTGTAAACATCAGTACCTGTCCTATGTGTGTAGCACATTATGTTTGCAGTTCTTGTTGTTTTCCATGTTTGTTATTGCATTCTTGGTTGGTATAACAGCTTTTATTGACAGTAAACAGCTGTCAAAAACTTAACAGAGAAAATTAACTTACAATATTTTCTTGCAAGTGAAGGATCCAGATGTCCGGTGTTTATGCTTCTGTAAACATAGCTTATCTGTCTTATTCATTAGTGCTTGAAAATCCGTGGCCAAGTGTGTCAAAAGAAAGGAAGACAAATCCAATGAAATTGGCTTAATAATGTTGACTAATGTTCTAATTAATATTCACCAAAGCAACCTAAAATGATGGTGCTAGCACCCAATTCTTTTTGCACGCATCAGAACCCCAAGGATGAGCAAGAGATGTGAAAAAACAACCAAGAATTCAATAAACGGATTACAGAACTGCCCCTGAACTAGAATAGTCCCAGCAGGCTGCGATACTAAAGAGGCATCAAAGGCAAAAATGTCTTCAAGAAAAAAGAAACTGTCTTAGCAGCTGGGGACCATGGTCCTCTGATCCTTTCTTCACATCTCCTCTGATGCCTTCACCCTTAGTGACTCTGTTACTGCTGTTCTACCGGCGCCCCTCCTTTCCTCCCATTTCTCCGTTGTCCTTTTATTTCCCATTCCCTCCTGGAATCATATATTTCCGTGCTTTTAACACTGGATCTTGGACTCTTTTTCTCTCTTTTTTTTTAAACCTGAGCTGGAAGTTGCAGCCTTGTTTAATGCAGTTAAATGCACAATACAGTACTTCTAGGCATGTGTTGTTGTCATGGTAAATATGTAAGCAGAGTGAGCTACTGGTGTATACATTTGAGACAATGCCACTTTAGCTAAATTGAGTAATTTAGCTACCTGTGGGTGTAGTGGCTTTTTAAGTATTGATTAGTTGCATATATGCAGTTTATAGAAAAAAAGGACCGATTAATGGTGTGGAAGTGAAATTAAAACATTTATCCCCTTTTTGATAGTTTAGTCTGTGCAAAGATCGTAATTAAATCATTCTCATGTAGATGTGTTAACAGCAAAAGGAAAAACAGTCCAATTTTCAGTCGTGTTGTCATGTAAACAAGCCCTAAAAGGATAAAGTGACACCATAGTTGATTAAAATGTAAAATAGGGGCTCTAGATGGGGATAAATTGTATCTCTTGCCGTCATAATCTTTACATATCCCAAAATATTTGACAAATTAACTATAAATTCTGTTGAAAAGTATTCTTCTACTTTCTATGTCTTTTGCATTTTCAATTCAAGCTGGTGAACGTCCTTCTGATCCCAATAAAAGGTGCATTGTTAGCTGTTACTTGCACCATGTTGTCTTTAGAGATGAAAATCACAGGATTAGATTGAAGAAAGCTGTTAGACGTTTCCTGGCCCCTGAGTGTAACCTGTTTTATAAATAAACACAAAGATCTTTTTCTGTCTCTGTTTGCACTTTGGGAATAAGCTGAGATGCTTTTATTAGCAAGCATCTATCAAATAGATGTGTTGTTATTCTGGGTCCCAGGGTGTACTGTCATAAAATATTCTCTCACCTTCTATACCTGCAAACACACAAGAGAGTAATGGTATTCACTGTGAATGTTGTAACTTTTGGAGTTTTAAACTCTTATTTACAGAGTCAGGCGATTGGAAAACATTAAAACCAACTAAAATCTGTGTAATAAAGCTGTAATAAGAGAACCGATTAGTGACCTGTAATACCCAGCATGTTTCATATTGCTTTGTGCTTTAATAAACGTAGGTGTTTCCCAAGCAGAAGCCTTAAAGGAGGAGAACGACTCCCTGCGCTGCCAGCTGGACGCCTACAGGAACGAGGTGGAGCTGCTCAAACAGGAGCAAGGAAAGAACCAGCCGGTGCGGAGTGAGGAGGACAGCACTCATTCCCAGCAGCTCAGCTTCCTGCAGCAGGCTCTGCAAGGCATGCAAAAGGTAATCCTTCATATTTAGTTGCTCAAACTAAACTCCCTGCTGTTGAACAATCATTTTAAACCAACATGCACTATTGTTATGCGTTTTTTCTATAACCACTTTGCGACCAAGGACTGTTTTTATATAATAAGCAGAAAAAAGCAGCTTTTCTCGGTTTGAGGGCAATTTGATGAGTGTGTTAATGGATTTTATGATTTAAAAAGCGAGCAAATGTTTCTGTGCGGAAAACCAAGGTTATTAGAACTATTTTAGATCATTTATTTTAAAAACAGTGATTTTTTTTTTGCCCCTTCAAAAATGTGTTTTCAACTAATAATGTGTAAGAGCTCTACCACTTTCTGTTGGAGAGCTTCTTTATCTGTTCATTTTCAAAATGCAATCCATCTATAAATGTTTTTTTTTTATTCCCCTTGTAAAATCCATTAGCTACAAAACAATTCAGCACTGAAGGTTTTTCCTGCCTCTTTCTTGATCCGTAGAAATCGATGAACCTGTAAAAATGATGGACATTCATAGATTAGACGCGCAGGTGAAACAGGAAGCAAAATAATTAAAGGATGTATTTAGGAAATCCATAGAAAGAATTAGAGTGTTTGCATCTAGAGATGTGAGCATAGTGGAAAACGAAAGTCTGGCGAAAGTATTCACAGCATGCCTTTTTGTCATTCCACAGCCATAAAATTAGATATTTATTGTTAGAATATATTTGATTGGCACATTCAGAGGAATGAAGTACTTCAAAGTTGTCCTGTTTATTCACTTGCTGTGGTTACAGCTGCACGTCCTTTTGGTTCTTTCCTCTCTTAGCTTTGCTCATTTTAAGACATTTTAGACAAACGTTCACCCGCTTAGCCTGATTTGATGGAGAATGTTGCTTAAGAACATTTTGTAACTTTACTGCATGCTCTCGTTTAGATATTGCTCTTGACTTTGCTTTGGGCAACCTAACAAATATTTTATTTAAAACATTTCATAAGAGCTCTGGCGGTGTGTTAAGTGATGTTTTTAGCTGTAAAGAAACACTGAATATTCCTGTATTTAACTCTATCAGCTTCCCTCCGCCTGATGACGAAGTATGCCTGCAGTATGAAGTAAAGCCCGACTGATAATTTTGAAGACAGATACAGATATTAATATTTAGGGCTTTAAAAAAAAAAACAATATATTGGCTGATATTGAATGGATAACGGCCAAAACCGAACATGGACATACAGTGTATATGCACTGTCGAAATATAGCTAACTCAAATTCTCATAATAACGAAGACTATTATTCAAATCAAAGAAATGGAACATAGAACTTGAATTTAAACAGGATCAGCATAAGACTATTAATACAATACATTTTTTGTGGTGCTTATTTAGATTTTGTCTCAAATCTGTGTTTATAATTAGATTTAACTTCTACAGAATGAAACGAGTGACTGCATATAGCTGAAAATGATAACACACTAGCTAATGGGAGATGTGTCGTATCTGATTCAATCTCATTCACAAAAACATCTTAGAAATAACATTTGTCATATTTAAAAGCAGCTGAAAAGTTCCCTTCTCCACTTAACTAAACTAGATTTAAGTAGCAATGCTGCAGCTTTTAAAACATCCAAACAGGATTACAACTAAATACAGAAGTTGGAGCCTTTTAATGAAAGAGATTGAATTTCTCCATTAAACTGGTTGTCTGACGTCATCATCGGAGATGCTCAGAGTAGTCCGGCAAAATATGATTAAACCACGTTAATCTGCATTTTAGTTGTTTCTTTCTTTATGTTACACACTATATACCATGAGGTTAACTCGAAAGGAAAAACATAAAACTCAAAAAGTTGGCGTCTGTGCAGATCTGGTACAAACAAGTGATAAAACAGGATTTTAAGGTATCTATTTTCTCAGGAAATACATTAATAACTTTTAACACTTTATAGTTTGGATCACTTACTATTTTTGGGGAGGGAAAATGTAATTCAGGTCTTGTTTTTTACTTTTACTTGCAGAGAACGAAATTCCCCATTGTGAAACAATTAAGGGATTTACATTTTTAAGATTTTACAAAATAAAATCGAGAGTAGCCCGGGTGTATATCTGGTTGTGCATATGGAAATGAGCTGATGGTACGGATCGTGCTTCTGGGACAGATCAGGTAGTGACAGGTGGCACAGAGGAGTTTAGCGCACAGGAAGGGAGGGAAAGAGAAGCAGAAGTTTTTTGTTTTGTTTTTTGCTTTTTGCAGAAAAAATATAATTTTTATATATTTTTATATTTGCTACATTTTGGCCGATGATGATTAATGAGTCAGACGTTAAAATCGTCCCCATAAATCAGTCAGTCTCGAGTATGAAGCTGCAAACATGTTCACTGTCAGGATGGAAGATTCCTCTTTCTGATAAAGCAGCTTTTCTCTCCTGATCTATGGATTTCTTCAGACCTTCTGACTTAGTACTCACAAAAAAGCCTTACTACTTGCTGTTGAATTCGATATTCATAGATTCTACTAACTACTAAGGAGATTCCTGAAGCCTGTGGACTGTGCTCCTACTAGTAATTGTTGCCGCTTATCCGGGACCGGGTCATTCGGCAGCAGTTCTGACAGGGATTCCCAGACTTCCCTCTCCTCAGACACCTCATCCAGATCTACTGAAGGAAGCCTGAGGCGCTTCCAGGCAAGCTAAGGGTAGCCTATCCTGCTGAGACATCCCTCCAACATCTCCCAACGAAGGCACCCAGATGGCATTCGGAACAGATCCCCGAGCCACCTCAGCGGATTCCTCTGAATGTGGAGGTGCAGCGGCTTATTTCAGAGGCTCCTGTCCAATGTTTTCTATATTTCTTTATGTAGGTCTATCACATTAAATACCAAGGATGAACTGCTGTCAGCAATGTGACCCTGCAGGATAGAATCTCAGCCTCTTTTTGTGCTTGATTACATGTATTCCATGTGTTGATGTGGTTTCTCTCTGGTTACTCTGGCCTCCTCCAACAGACCAAAAAAAAAAAAAAAAAAGCTAGGTCACATTTTCACTTATATTTTCCCTTAGGTATGATTTAGGGCTTGAACGATTTTGCCAAAAATCTAAATTGCGATTTTCTTTTTTTTTTTTACCCAAATTGCGTTGCAATGTTATTTTGATATTTTCCTTTGCATTAACCACAAAGCTAATAGAAGTTTCCCCACAGGCTTTTGGTTTTTGAAAGCTTGCTTTCCCAGAGCTTATTGTTACAGAACTTTACTGCAACCATTGTGTGAAAAAAAATGTTTATTTCTTATTGCATGTATGGATCTGCTGCTAGCTGCTACTCTCTCTACCTTTCTGTATGGCGACAAACCCACTTCAGGCCTTTAATCACTAACCTAAAGGGCTGGAGGGAGACATTTAATGTCTTACATGTTGAATATAATGTGATATGTGATTAAAGATCATTGCCTTTTTGATTTGTAAATTGCGTTTTGTTAAATTGCGATTATATTGCAAATGCAGTTAATTGCCCAGCTAGTATGATTACTCTCTGATCACCTTCCTAAAGGTGAAAAATTTGGTTTGGAACATTTCTTTAAGAAGTCGAATTTATAATAAAAAGAAAGTTTTAAATCTGTTAATATTATAGGATTTGTTGCCATTTCATAAACTCTCTTAAGGTTTTTAAAGTAATCCTAATAAAGACTATATTTCCATGTCTGTATTTCACAGAATAATAGGACCATTTCAACAGAACTGTTCTCTTTCTGTAGCTTTCAAATTTAGATTTAATAAAAGTAAAGTGGCACTGGCGTTTGTCAGGTGTCTTCTCTCAGCCGTCTTCTTTCAGTAATGGAAATTATGATCGACTGGAGTTTAGAAGAAGAGAATCCATTAAGGATACGTGGTTCTTTTCTGCATCCAGAGAGTAATTACCTTCCCAACATACATCTCTCTCCGGGTCTGTTTATGAAGAAGAGGAGGCAAGTGGATTAAATGAGCTTGAAGGCGCTGAAATTGGATACCTCGACCTGGCCGGGTCCACGAGGTGTTTCACCACAGTGTCCTCAATTTGCATTATAACATTATCAGCATGTATTGACAGCTTGTTAACCCTCTCTCATCAGTAACGGTGTATGTAGCAGTAGATGCTCTCAGTTTCTGATGGTGCAAACAATATTAACACCACAGGAGGCTGATCGTTTAATCTGTGCTCGACAGATAACTTTGGAGGCTGTGGATTCTTAAAGCTTACTTAAAGCTAGTTCTCTTATTACATCATAAGCAGGACCTTTTTGCTCAGTCTTTGTTCGCAAATGTTTAAAATCTAAAGCTTTTGTATATTTGGCAAAAGACTAAAGTGGTTTTGTTTTGTTTTAGATATGCTGCTCTATTGGCACTTCTGATGAAGACGTTCAAAAGCTCTCTGAATGAAATAGCTGTTTATAGCAGCATCATGATGTTGCCACTATTAAGAAAAATACAACCTTTATTTGAAGGCCATTCGTTCAAAATAAAAAAAACTTTTTTTCAACAAGATCACACAATTCCCTTTAACCCCTTTAACAAATGCAGCTTAAGCATTTCTTTGAAATTGTACTTATTGATCTTACTTTATGCTGCTGGAGCTTTTAATTGATAATTATGACTGGTGGAGAAAAATAAAAAACTGAAAATTTTTAAAATTGGTGGTAAATAAATAATTTCACTGGATAGAGGTCCAAAGCAAATGTTGAAATGAACGCAAATGGAAACAAGCGCAGCATTTTTTTAAGCCATCACAGTGCTAGATCTAAATGTTTAAGATAAAGCATGGAAATAATCTAGAGATCTAAAGTGCAAAGAGTGAGATAATATTAGAAAACAGCACTTTGGTGCAGCCAGGGCAACCTGCAGCTGAATACACAAAAAGCAATAGAGATGATCATAGACTTCAGATGGAAGTATTCAACAGCCCTGTTTCTGCTGTGCAAACCCTCATGTTTCTGGGATCCATTTTATCCCAGGACCTAAAGTGCTGTAGCAACACTGACAGAGTAATAAAAAAGGTCCATTAGAAGATGTAGAAGAAGCTCAACGTGCTTCAGAGCAGTCATCCAGTCTGACCTCTGTTGATCCTTTACTCTCTGGTTTGGTTCAAGGTCAGACAGCTTACAACAGGAAAGATATGCCTTCCATTAAGGATTTATCTATTTGCAAAGCCAGGGAACTGGCAGGAAAATATCCCTGCAGATTCATCTCAACCCGTTCATAAAATGTTCCAACTCCAGCCATCTGGTAGGGCTACCGAGCCTTTTACTCCAAAACCTACAGATTCAGAAACAGTTTCTCTCCACAAGCTTTACTCTAACCCTCAGTTTATGCGGTTCAGCTATTGCAATGAGAGTCTTTAAACAGCCTCTATGTAGCGTAGGGTGGCAGAGAGCAAACAACATGCCTGCAAAAATTATTTTGATTCTGTTTTGGCCGTTAGCCGCAACAAAGCGGCAGTAAATATAAAGAAATCACATTTCTACCACAGGAGGCAGAGCAGTCACAGCATCCAGATTTTCAAAATAATTTACTAAAGACTGCTTTACTACTATGATTATATGTGTGTGTATATATAGGCAACTGCGCACATTAGACCAATTACTAAACATTAGATCCATTGATATTAGCACAGCCTCTCTGCGCTTGCTGTATGCACTGATGGTAGAATACCTCTCTTTCACCTTTTTACAAACCATAAGAGCAGTTGTTTTGGTCGTCTGACTTCCACATTGATTGTACACGTTACTTGGAGCTCCGCTGGCCTTCGCGCTGCAGAGGAGCAGCAGCAGTCTAAATTGAATCACTCCTGTCCAATTCAGCAACTACCTTTATTCCGCCTGTTTACTGATTATCACTTGTTTACTTTTGCATCATTTTCACTGCTGCTTTATTGTTTTTATTCATCCCTTTTAGTTAATGTAATATGCATTTTTTATCACTGTATTATTGCTATTGCAGACATTTGCACATTTTGTCTATTTATGTCTAATTCCTCTAATGTGTTGGCATAGCTGCCAATAAAGCTGATTCTTCTCATAGTGTTCCCTCTTTCTTTATACTTTATTTATTTCTTTTAAAAAATCTCACAAAATAAATTTTGTTTTGAGAAATGTATCATTTGATTCTCATAAAAAAAATACTTGCCCAAATTGAAGGTGCATTTCTAAAGCAATTGGCTTTTTTTCTAGATTTCACCAGGTTTTTATTCATTACTAGCATTGTGAGTTTAATGCAATAAATGTTTACCCATGTACAGTTCTCTTGCATAATGGTAATGTGTATAATGTGCTAATTTAATTGTTTTTGTCCTCTCCTGGTGTTTTTATGGTTGGTTGGGTCTGAGCAACATTAGTGCCTAAATGTTTGCTCTGTTGTTTGCACAGCAACTGTTAAAAATGAGGGATGAACTGAAGCAGCGAGAGGCTGAGCTGGAAAAGAGTATGGAGGACAAACAGCACCTAAAGTCACAAGTCCAGAATCTGAAGGAGACTCTCCAGAAGCTGCAGAGCACACAGACGATACAGGTCAGTGTGTCAGAGCACATCATTCTTTTTGGCTGGCTTTAACCCCTGTTTACTTGGTTCCCATCAAAATGTAATTCATTGTATGCATTGGTTAGAGAAAATCTGCACTTTCATAAGAAAGAAATAACCCGAGGATGTTGTGGAAAATACAACCATGAAAAAAAGAAATAACGGTCCTATCAATAAACAAAGGAGCACAATGAGGTGGATTTTGTAACACTAGCAGTATAGTATTTTAACAGTTTTTATAGCTCATTAGAAAATCTAACAGGTGTATTAGCATCTTTCTATCACAGAAACTGTATACAAGCTTTAACAGCAGTATCTAGCTTTATTCAGTCATCCTTTGTTCTTCATTTTTACCTTTTGTCTTGTTTTTTTATGTACATTTTACATTAAAGGAATAGTACACCCAAAACATGATTAGCCTTCATTTTCTACTC